CCGCCCCCCCCCCCCCCCGCCCCATCCATCACCCAGCAGAGGGTAGCCTGGGCCTCCCTCTATGGGAGGATCATGGGGCGATGGCAGGGACCCCCCACCAATTGCATAGCACCTGCCTTGTCTGGCCTGCTGTCAGTGCGTGTCATAGTGTGGTCCCCCAGAAGGTCGTCTGGACGGTTGTTCTGCTCTTTGGTGGTTCGGTCGATTTGCATATTACGCTTTTTATTATTATAGATTATTTTTGTTGTTAATCTTCACCTGAGGATATTTTTCCCATTGCTTTTCAGAGAGGGGGGTTGAGATAGAAACACTGACCAGGCTGGGGGTCTGACCTGCAACCTAGATCCCTGCCCTTGACGGGAATGGCACCCACGGCCCTTCGATGCATTGGCGGCTGCTCTAACCACTGAGCCATGCCAGCCAGGGCCACAGCCATTGTCCTCATCCCCATCCTGTGCACCTGGTGGGATTTGCGAGCTACCGCCTCTGCCCCGCCTGACTGGGGAGGGGGCGGGTGGGCTGGTCACTGGCAGCTCCTCAGTGTCCCTGTCTGTTCAATGGGCTGAGCCTGAAGGGCAGGTGCGGGGGACGTGGGCCCTGCCGAGCCGCCAGCTTCTGACTGCACCTCAGGGGGTGGCTCTGGGCCTTCCTGCCTCCTTGTCCGGAACCTGGTCACCATTGGTCTCTTCAGCCGGGCTTTGCTACGCTGAGAGGCCCTGGCGTGGGCACCCGGCCGCCATGTTCTGATGAACCAGCGAAGCCACTTGGGCCTCGTCTCCTGGCGTCAACACAGGTCCCTTTTCCACCGCTGCGGCCATTTTGTTAACTGAGGCCTGGAGGTGCTCCCCTGTCCCGGCAACTGCGCGCCCACTTCCGGGGCAGGGAAGGCGAGTCCTGGTGCAGACCCAGAGGCGGGAGGCCGTGGGTGCATCCCAGGGGCCACCGTGCCCTCCGAGGCCGGGAGCGCTGCCGCCTTCTTTCTCCAGCATCGCGAGAGTTCACCGCGCACAACTCCCACGTGGGGTACAGGCCTGGCGTCGTGCGTGACTGAGGCCTGGCCAGGGTCAGGGGTCACACACCGGGGGGGACAGGCTTCCAAGGCTTCGAGGCCGCCCAGACTGGTCTCCACAACACGTGACACAGGTCACAGGTCATCCCCAGCACAAAATGGCGCCTCCGGGAAGGAGGTAGATCGATCCCAGCGCCCACCCGATCCTTGGGCTGAGGAGGCGGCGGCGCGGGCGGCCCCTGCGCGCACCTCATTTGCATATATAAAAAACGGCTTGGTCCGTGCTAGGCAGGGCCTCATTGGTCGCTCCCCATCCTCCCCGCCCCTCCCGCACCGCCTTTTCCTACGAGAATTGGCCGGTGTGAGCCTCGTGACGCCATCCCAGGATTGCTCGTTCCTATTGGCCAGAGCGCCGTCCATCATCCGTTTAAAACCCCCCGAGAACCGCCTGCCCTTGCCCCGCCCGGAAACCCCGGCCGACCGTTAGTCGCGTGCGCAATCTCCGGAGCGTAAGGGCGTGCGTGCGTACGCCGGCCCTGGCGGCGTCGCATTCAAACGGGCCAATCAGCGGGCGAGTCACCTCTCGCGTTCTTTTCCCCTCTTCTACCCCTTTTCATTTCCTCTATATTCTGGGGGTCCCCAATCCGACCCCCCGCGTCCCAGTTGGCCGGCCCGCTCCGGGCCCTCTCCCCAGTGTCTCCCGCTTCCGCTCTAAACTTACGGAAAGGGGGCGAGCGCGCCTAACGCCGAGGAC